TTGCTGGTTAAGAATAACGTATGATGTCACATGGCTGCAGAAGTGACCACGCGATTTTGAAATTCCAAAATTTTAACACTTAAATCTGGAGGGATTTCTGCCAAAACCTGCTGGGTTCCGAGATCTGTTCCTGGGTCTCTGGGATCATGGCCATTAAGCAGCTTGATCAGGAGCCAGAAAGGCCGTTCATGGGTGGCAACTTGGGGTCTCGTTGGGATGGGGAGGAAAGGGCCAGTTCCATCCCCATCCCATGAGGCCCCATGTGTCTCATCACTAAGGGCCCAAACATGACTGTCCAGTGGCCTCTGGAGGATGCAGGCCACCGAGCTGCCTAGGGTGAGCAGGAAGAGGGACAACACCCTTTCCCCCCTGGGGTGGCCTGGCGACAGTAACCTACCACGGGGTCTGGACGCATTTCTGCCAAAAGCCACTGGGTTCCAAGATTTGCTTCAGAGTCTCTTGGATCATGGCTGTTAAGCAGCTTGATCAGGAGTCAGAGAGGCCGTTCGTGGGCGATGACTTGGGGTTTCATTAGGGTGGGGAGGAAGGCTCTTTAGTTCTAAAGGTGTGGTAGAAAGAGCCCATCCAGGAAATTGGCAGGTCCCTCAGACCCTGAGGAAACCTGAGTGGCTTGTTTCTGAGGTCATGTCTCTGCCCCTGTTAAAGATTACATTAGTGGAGCCAGAGCAAGAGGACAGCAGGCACGGCACTTGCCTTACATGTCACCAATACAGGTTTAATTCCCAGTACCACATATGGTCCCTTGAGCCCATATGGTTCCTGAGCACAGAACCAGGGGTAAGCCCTGAGCACAGCTGGGTACACCCCACCCACCACCCAAAAAAAATTAGTGAGGCCTGAAAAATGGTACAGGGGTTCAGGCACCAGCCTTGCATTTAGCTGACCTGCTTTGGTCCCTGGCACTGTGCACGGTGCCCAGAGCCCTGCTGAGTGAGCCCCAAGCTGAGTCTGGAATAATGTCCGAGCACAGCAAGGCGTCTGCGGATCAAAAACAAAAAGATTGTGTGAGCAATCTCACCCTGCAACTCGACAGAATCACATGATGGCAAAGGCTGGCAACGTCCACTCAGCCACAGTACTTCGAGGCACTGATATGGAGGAGAAACACCACAGGCGCTAGCCATCATTTCCGGTTCTCTAGTGGAGCCCATTCCAAGACAGGGCCACCTCAAGTATAAGGCTCTGATAACTCCCGGGGCTGGAATAGTAAATCCTGCAGTGGCTGACCACTTTGGGGACCAAGTCCAATTCTTAAAATGGCAACAAGAGCCAAGGAACACCACCCAATTTCAAGAATCTCTTTCTCTGACAATCCCAGGCTGAAGAACCCTTGTGTGGGAAGGCTCAGAGTCAGGGGGTTTCTGCAGGGGTGCAAGGTGCCAGGGCCGTAGAGCCACATCCAGCAGTGCCAGTGGACCTGGCATAGGTAAGGCATGAGCCCCACCACCCAAACCCTCCTCACACTCTGAGATCCTTGTTTTACTATTATCCATATCCATAGGGGACTCCTTCTTTCTCTTCATTCAATGCACAGCTTTAAACTTCTCGCCCACATTTTAGTAACTCGGAAGAGGCCCTTTGTGGGAAATTAGAGGCATTTTTGTTCTTTCAACTGCAGTAAAAGCCATTGCCAGATTCATAACTTAAAAATTCCCTACAGGGTCAGAGCGATAGTACAGTGGGTAAAGCATTTGCCTTGCACGTGGCTGACCCAGGTTTGATCCTTAGCTCCTGTATGGGTCCCTGAACACTGCCAGGAGTGATTCCTGAGTGCAGAGCCAGAAATAATCCTGAGATTTGCCAGGTGTGGCTCAAAAATCAGAAAGAAAAAAATTCTCTACAGCTAGCTGTGATATTTGTACATTATTTTTTATCAACAATGATTTAATCTTTTCCTAATAAATTCAGATTAGATCACTCTAAAAGTTTCAGAGGCCCATTAAAAAACTTAGAAGTTTATCAATTTAATTGGGATTCAACCCACCAGCAGTTTTATAGTTTATGCAATAAATCCAAAGAAGCTCAGGTTCACCCTAGTATAAAACAAGATAGGAATCAATTGACAAAGGAGGTGAAAAGCTTACATATGGAAAAATTTAAGTCATTACTAAATGCGAGAGGACACCAGGAAGTAGAAGAATATTCCATGTTTCTGGATTGAAAGAATTAATATTGTCAAAATGACTACCCTATGCAAAGCCGTTGTACATACTCATTGTTATTCCAATCCGACTTCTAATGCCATTCCTGAAGGACATAGACAAATCCTACTGACTTGTATGTAACCATGAAGCTCCCAGAATAACCACAGCAATTCTGAAAAGAAAGTAGATGGGAGACATAGCAGTCCCTGACTTGCAATTATTCGAGAGGGGCTGGAGAGGTAAATCAAGGGACAAGCTTGGAGTCTGCCTGCAGGGGGCCTGGCTGATGGAACAGTTAGTGACCTGGGTCAGAGGGAGCCCGTGAAGACCTGTCCTCACTCACCTATGGTACAGAGAGATGCAAAGCAAGGGACCAGCCTGGGCAAACCCCGGGCCTTGCACCACAGAACTGAAATGACTGGGGGATGGGGAAGGAGGAGGCGGGCTCAGGGGACATGGGGAAGGGAGAGGTGGGTCTTGTCACTGTGGTGGCTGTGGTAGCTGTCCACCAAAATCAGGAACACTAACACTTTGTAGACATGTGGCCTTATACAACAAAAATTAGAAAAGAAATGGGAAAATGCAACCAGATAGAAGGAGAAATTCGATCTCCAAGGACAGTTGGCTGAAGCATTGGATTTGGGGGTACTCAGCCTGTGGCCACATCCCTGGACAGTCCGGGGCCTGCCCCCACTGACAGAGCAGGCCTTCTGAATTTTTCTGAACCAACAGAGCACTCAGCTGACATCTGCCCAGGCCAGGTGAGAACCCTCAGTCCCCGGGAACCTCAGGACAAGGTTCAACCAGGGCTCCACTGCTCTCGCAAGTCCAGGGGACACTGGGCCAGGGCAAGCTCCTGTCCACTGCAAACTCATGGGCCCCAATACGCCAAGCAGGGAAAGGAGAGGGTGTCCTCTCGGACGTGGGGGCACGCCTCTGGGACATCCGTGCCTGGCTCAGAGGAGGTGGGAGGGGATAAACGAAGAGGGTTCAGGAGCACGTGGGCAGCATGCTCGATGTGGAAGCTGAACAGTCCTTCCAGTGCCCCCTCCCATCCTGAGCTGTCCCCACAGGCCAAGGGACCTGGGGAATGGACCCTGCTCTGCCTCCCAGGCTTGCACTGGCAGGACTGGAGCCAGAGCCACTGTTTCTGGGACTCAGTTGGGCAAGAACAGAGCTCCCTGGGGCCAGCCCCAGCCCAGCCTGGGAGAAAGCTCCTCATGTCCCTACCACTATCCCTTCGGTCACCAGGGCTGCAGCCCAGAGCCTGGCTTAGCACAGCACTGCACCCCCATGCACATCCCCCACACCCACAGATTCCCCACCAGTCCTGTACCCCCACCACCCACAGGAAGCCCCACCCAGAGCACTTGGCAGTTTCTGGGTGGGAAAAGTCACTGAGAGGGTTGAGGCCAAGCCCTCAAGCCACTACCTCCTCTCCAGTCCACAGGACTTGGCCTCAGCACCAGCCCGTGGTATTGGTCACTCAGCCTCAGTACCAACCTACTACTAGCCATCAGTACTGACTACTGTACCCAGCCTCAGTACCAACCGTAGTACTGACCCACAGTACTGACCTACAAAACCCATCTACACTACTGAGTTTCAGCCCCTGTACCAAGCAAACTCAGTACTGATTCCTGAGGCCAGACAATAACCTCATGTCCACTGTCTGCCCCAAGGAGAAGCTGTCTCTCCTCTTTTGAGGGAAGTTCAGGTGGAGGCTCATCCTTGTGGGCCCCGTCCAGGTTGTTTTGCTGGGGACTCTGTGGAGGCTGGAAAGGCTGGACATGGCGCCCCTCCCACAGTAGCCCTCTCTGGCGTTACTGCCCGCAGCCTCTCTGAGAAAGGCGCCTCTGCCCTCTGGTGGCTCCAGTGTGTTGGGGACTCTGAGGGGTCCTCCGCCCTCACAGCTGGGGATCCCAGAGGAACCAGCTCTGGTTCTTGACCTAAAGACGTTTTCTGGGACAGCAGGAAAGCTCTTGGGCCATCCTGGAAGGTCCAGAAGTAGGAATCCGGGAAGAGAGGAAGAACGGAGTGGGGGTGGGGGTCCCACCTTCCGATCGCCTCAGAGGGCCAACTGGTTCCTCTGCTTCATGGGACTCGCCCCGGCTGTGACCACCCGCAAACGCAGGGACGGTGAGAACCCTCCGCCCCAGCCATATCTGGCCAGCACACCTGCGTCAGGTAACCCACGGGCTCTGCCAGAGAACTTGCCGTCCGTTTCTCTGCTTGCCCCACCGCTAACCCTAGTGGGGGCAACGCAGCGCGAGTAGAGCAACCGCTGGGAACCCTACAACCCCACGGCGAGGCCACGCGAGAGCGTCCAGGTGAGGGTGGGCACACGTGGCCTTAGCGTGGCCCCGCCCACAACTCCACCTCCATCGCCCAAGCCTCGGAAGATAGGCGGAGCCTGTTCCAGACCCGCCTGAGCCACGCCCACCGAGGCCCTGCCCACCAGTCAGCCCCGCCCACCAGTCAGCCCCGCCCATTTAACAGGCCCCGCCTACGGGCTGAACGTCCTCCAGTTCAGGGCTGGCGAAATCCAGTTAAAGAAGCCCGCCTGTTCGAGGTCCCACCTCAAGACAGCCCTACTCCCCAGAATCCCGCCCACTACGCAGCAGACAGACCCCGCCTCCAACCTGGGAAGCCCGCCTTTCGAGGCCCCGCCCATCAGACATGCCCCGCCAATCGCGTTCGTCCCGCGCCGCTGTCAGGCCCCGCCCACAGATCCGGCCGGGGCGGAATGGACGCAGAGCGCATGCGCCGGAGGCCCACGACGTTGCCGTGGTTACTAGAGACGGGCTTCGCGGGCCCGCGCGTGCGTTTCCGGGGCGGGGCGAGGCCTCGGGAAGTGCGTGGCCGCCGGGGCCATGGCGGCGCTCGGCTTGGGCTGCCTGCTGCTGTGCGCGGCGTGCTGGCCGCCTATCTGGGCCTCGGGCGAGGAGTTCTGGCCCGGCCAGTCGGCGGCCGGGCTCGTGGCGGGGGCGGCGTCCGACCGGCGGTGAGCGGGGCTGTCGGGCGGGTGGGCGGCGCTGACCTGCCCTCTGCAAAAACTCGACGTCCAGCGCTGACCCCGCGGCGCTGACCTGTCCCCCGCAGGTACCTGCTGTACGACGTGAACCCGCCCGAGGGCTTCAACCTGCGCCGCGACGTGTACATCCGTGTGGCCTCGCTGCTGAAGACGCTGCTGAAGACCGAGCCCTGGGTGCTCGTGCTGCCGCCCTGGGGCCGCCTCTACCACTGGCAGAGCCCCGACATCCGGCAGGTCCGCATTCCCTGGGCCGACTTCTTCGACCTGCCCAGCCTGGGCCGGAATATCCCGGTGCTCGAGTACGAGCAGTTCATCGCAGGTGAGTGGGCACTGCGGGAGCCCCTGCCGCGACACCAGCTCCGTGTCGCTGGGCTGTCACGCCCCTCGCACACGGCCGGGGTCTGGCGTTCCCGTGGAGATGGCACCGGGACCCCAAGGACATGGTTTCTTTGCACTGGATACACCTGCCTCCCCAGTGTCACCCCAGGTCCCCTACACCCACCAAGATGTGGCCCCATGTCCTGGGACGAATCTCAGGGTCTTGCCCAGCCTTCCCTCGCAGACCCTGGCCTGCTGCCTCCCTGGTGACAGGACGATGGTCAGGGCCTGGGGACCCCACCCTGCACCTGGCAGCCTCTTGACAGGCAGGTGTGGAATGGTGGATGCCCGGCTACACATCCTGGAAGCCTGGGCAGCAGAAGACTTGGTGCCTGGTTGTCCCCTCCCCAGAGCCACACAGGGAGGCCTTGGTGCAGTAATGGGAACGTGGGCAGGGCCTGCTCTCCTGGCTAGTCACTGTCCAGTGCCCAAAGCAAACGGGCATGGGGCCCTGGGCCGGGGAGAGCTGGGGCAGTGGGGCATGCATGCGGGTGCATGGATGCAGCAGGGACAGGGGGCACACAGTGTGTGAGTAGGAGAGAGTGCGAGCCTGGGTCCAAGAATGTTCTGGAAAGGTGCGGTCATTTGATGGGTGCTCCTAGGGCCAGGGGAGCCTCGAGGGCAGGGGAGCCTGTTGAGAGGGGCTGGGGAGGAGGCGTCAGCCCCGGATGGCTGTTCCGCCTGGGAAGGAGGCCCTGCCCACATGGAGCACTCTCATACTTTCAGAGTCTGGCGGACCCTTCATCGACCAGGTATATGTGCTGCAGGGCTACGCCGAAGGCTGGAAGGAGGGGGCCTGGGAGGAGAAGATTGACCAGCGGCCCTGCATCGACCCGCCCCTGTACTCACAGGACAAGCATGAGTACTACAGGTGGAGCCACGGCCCACACGCCATCACATACCCTGGCCTCACGCACACCCTCGCCCTACACCCCCCACCCCCGCCTCATGCATTCCCTGGCCCCATGCACACCCCTGCCCCATACACACCCTCACCCCACACAACACCCCTGCCCCATGCACACCCCCACCCCATGCACACCCCAGCCCCACTCACCGACACCCACACATGACAGTGCCCCACGCATGCCACTACCCACACACGCCACCACTGCACGCCTGTCTGCTGGTGCTGAACACCCACCATTGCCACTTGCACACCTGAAGGAGACCTTGCACCCCAGTTCTCTGAGGCACCCCTCATGCTCCCTGCATGCAGTTTGGAGGGGGCTGGCTTATCTTCCTCATGCCCTGTGTGTGGGAAGTGGCTGTGGGAGTGTGGGTGGCAACCCCTGCCCGTGCAGAGCAAAGTCCTGCAGACTCTGGTGCTGGACAAGGTCGCGGTGCAGACTCTGGCTTGGGCAGGTGCCTCCCTGAGTGTGTGTGCCTGCTCATGGTTTCCAGAGGCTGGTTTTGGGGCTATGAAGAGACAAGGGGCCTGAATGTCTCCTGCCTGTCGGTGCAAGGGTCTGCGTCCATCATCGCCCCTGTGCTTCTGAAGAACACGTCAGCACGGTGGGTGCAGGGTAGAGTATGCTGTGTACATGCAGGGGGTATGTGCTCGAGTCTTCACTGTGTATGCACATGAGTGCTCAAGTCTGTGCCACATGCTCATGTATATGCTTGAGTGTGTGCCATGTGCACATGTGTGCTTGAATGCTGTGTGCGCATATGTATGCTTACTCTGGTGTGTGCACATGCGTGCTTAAATCTGCTGTGTGCACCTCAGATTTGCATCATGTGCATTTGTATGTGCTAAGGTCTGTGTGCACACGCAGATTGAATCTGTACCGTGTGCACACATGCATGCTCAAGTCTGTGCCACCTGCACATGTGTGTGCCCAAGTCTGCACCATGTGTGTGCGTGTATGCTCAAGTCTTCACTGTGTGAGTATATGTGTGCTTGAGTCTTCTGTGTGCACGCAGGTGTGCTTGAGTCTGCAACATGTACACGTGTGCTCTAATCTGCCGTGTGCACACATGTGTGCCCGAATGCATCATGTATGCTTGAATCTGCACCATGTGCTCAAGTTTGTACCATGCACATGCATGGGTGCTCGTCTGCCATATTCACATGTGTGTACCCGAGTCTGCTGTGAGCCTCAGGTATGTCCATGTCTGAGCTCTCGACATGGGAGAACAGTGGGGGCAGGTCTCCCCCACTCCAGAGGCCTGTCCCAGGGGCACAGAGCTGGACTGAAAGAGACACAGCATCCACGCTCGGGAATGGGGAGGAGCGTGAGGAAGAGTAGATGGAGGTGCCCCGTGGACTCAGATGCAGAGTCCCCAGACACACACATACCCTTAATCTGCAGAGGAGTGGGTGGTGGTGCCGAGCACAGCCCCAAGAGGGCTGCCAGCAAACACACCCCCCAACCTCCCCCACTCCCGCCTCTGGGGTAGGCCTGTGAAGGTGTGGCCCGGTTCCCGGGAGACTCCCCTCCGCCCACCCTCATGTGATCCTCACAGGGCCCTGTCCTGTCCATGGTAGAAATGCATCACCCTGCTGGATGGGGCCTGCCCTTTCCTCAGGGTGCTAATTCTGGCCATGTCTGTGCCTAGTGCTGTGGACTGAGCGCCCGAACCCTGGCTGGGGCCACAGGGACTGCCCTAGGGTCCCTGTGGAAATAAAGCCAGAGGGAGCTGTGTGCCAGACCCCCCACTCTCGGGGGCCATGGGGTGTCCTGCCTCCAGGGCCCAGAAGAGGTCTGGACGTAGGCTGGCCCCTCTGGGCTCCAGCAGCCCCCGTCCTCGGCATCTTACAGGTCAGTAATGCTGGACCGAGCGGAGAACCTGCTCCACGACCACTATGGCGGGAAAGAGTATTGGGATGTGAGTGTGCCCCTCCTCCCCGCACCCTTTCCTCCTACTCGGACACACCTGAGACAGCACAGGGTCCCAAGCTCACGGGCACCGTGTGCCAATCAAAACCTGCCTGCAGCTTAAGCCCCGCCCCTGGCCATGCCCCCAGCGCCACGCCTTTCCGTGACTGGCCAGCTCCTGCCATGTGCTCCACCCTGGGGTCCCCTTCCCCACCCTGCAGGTGTGAGCGGGCAGTGGGAGGGGGTCTCCGGGAGGGGAGCTGCGGGCTCGGGCCTTTGCAGTGAGCAGTGGCTGGGTCGGGCCTCTCCGCTGACCCTGGGAACCCGGACTGGGGCTACACGTGCCGTCCGAGCCCCCCCGACTCCCGGGGTCCTGGGCTGCCTTGTGCCCGCAGACCCGGCGCAGCATGGTCTTCGCCAGGCACCTGCGGGCCGTGGGAGATGAGTTCCGGAGCCGCTTCCTCAACTCCTCCGATCTGGCCGACGGCGTCCCCTTCCAGGAGGACTGGACGCACATGAAGGTAGGAAGACGCATGATGGGGGCAGTGGGCGGGGTCAGCGGGACTGGTTGGGGACGGGGCGCTGGTGAAGGGGTGTGTCAGAGGTGAGGGCGTGGTCAGAGATAGTTGGTTACTGTGGCCACCGATGGTCACTGGTCTGGAGTGTATGGGGCGGGGGCTCTGCTTTCTCTGAAGCTGGGGGTCAACCCTGGGACTAGGTTTCTGAAAGCGAAGGAGGGGCGAGGAAGCTTGGTGGCCTGCCCGTGTCTTCACCTCACAGTACCCTGGGTCCCCTTCCTGGACGTCTGTGCTGTGTCCTTCCGGGCTGGCTCACATAAAGGCTTAGGTGATCACCGGCTTCCAGGGCCGAGGCAGCCCCCCACTGCAAGGGCACCCACGGGGAGCTCTCAGCCCCTCCCTCACCCCTCCAGGTCAAGCTGGGCTCAGCTCGGGGGGGCCCTTACCTGGGCGTCCACCTGCGGCGGAAGGACTTCATCTGGGGGCACAGGAAGGACGTGCCCAGCCTGGAGGGCGCCGTGAAGCAGATCCGCCAGCTCCTGAAGAAACACGCGCTGCGCCATGTGTTCGTGGCCACGGACGCTGTCCCACAGGGTACCCCTGCGCCCTGCGCCCAGCTGGACACCCCCCGCCTGCGCGGGGCACCCGCTCAGTGCCCCTTCCCCTTGCAGAGCTGGAGGAACTGAGGCGGCTGCTCCCCGAGATGGTGCGATTCGAGCCCACGTGGGGGGAGCTGGAGCTGTACAAGGACGGCGGCGTGGCCATCATTGACCAGTGGGTGTGCGCCCATGCCAGGTGCCTGCCCCCCGCTCATTGCCCTCACCCTCCCTCGCCTTCTCCAGCAGGACCCCTGACCAAGCCAGGGGCGGCCCCCATGGGCAGATCGAGCATGGCTCTCTGTGACCCTGGGGCTTTGCCGTGTGGGCTGGCGGCTCTGTGGTCTCTTCCTCGGCTGGCCCTGCAGAAGCTGAGCAGTAGGCTGTCCCCTCCCTGTCTGGGGGTCCGGGAGCCCCCCACCTCTGCTTAGATGCATGTCCTTGTCCCAAGAGCACACATGACTTCCTAGGACAAACCCCAGCACTTCCTACCCAGGTCTTCTTGCATCTCAGCCCCTCAGAAGTACAGGCTGGGCCTATCTGCTGTGCTTTGAGGGAAGAGACACACACACATACACCCCTGCATGCTACTGGACAGGACGCTGGGCCTGGGACCGGGTCCCCCGGGCTCCCTGTTTGGTTAGGCCCTGCCTCTGGCGGGGGGAGGGGAGAGAGATGTCCCCACACAGGACTGGGAGTGGGGCCATTTTGGAGGAAGGGTCAGTGTGGAGCTCCAGGGATGGCAGCACTGGCCACTTGGCAGGGGACTGCACCTTGGGAGTGGGTGAGAGCCAGGCGGATGGGGGTGTGGGAAGGCTGCACACCCCCTGACCACAGTGTGTCCACAGGGTTTTCATCGGCACCTCGGTCTCCACATTCTCCTTCCGCATCCACGAGGAGCGAGAGATCCTGGGCTTTGACCCCAAGACCACATACAATCGTTTCTGCGGGGACCAGGAGGACACGTGCGAGCAGCCCACACACTGGAGGGTCCTATACTGATGATGTCCACGGCCAGGCGGGTGCAAGCAGTGCAGACCTAGGGCACTGTGGGCCGGGCGGGGATGCAGGGCCAGCCCCTCGTCCCCAAAGGCTGTGGGGCTTCCAATGTGCCACGACCTGCAGCCCCCAGTGGCTGGTGCTCCCTGAGCCCCATGTGTGAGCAGCTGCTCAGAGCCAGGCCAGCCGGGAGGTGCTGACTCCCATCTCGGACAGCCCCTGACTGCAGGGGACAGAGTGGTCATGGCGTGGGAGCTACCCAGGCGGGCTGGTGCATGGAAATATTTATTTTCCGTTTGTATACTCAGGCCAATAAAACGTGTTTTCTAGAAAGCTGCTCCCCTCCCAGGCTTGTCTCTAGGGTGATGGCTGACCCACCATGTGGGGCCGCATGATATCCCCAGCTGACTCGGGGTGGAGGGGGTGCCTTTGCTTGTAGCACCTGAGGGCCGAGGGGAGTCAGGAGGGGTCTCTGGATTCTCCACTGCCCCCATGGCTCTGTGGCCAGCCCAGGGTGGGGGCACCCAGCGGAACTTCACGGGACACCCTGAGGAAGCAGCCGTGAGCCCCCAGGCCACGGGGCCGGCTGCCCTCCCATACCCCCTGCACCAAGCAGGGTCCAGTGTGGGCTTGGCCCTGCACTGCCGGTGGGTACTGCGGACCCTGAGGTTCAGTGCCTTCTGGTGGTCCCCGGGGGATGTCCTGAGGTCACAGGAAGGGGAGCCCAAGCCAGTGACTGATGTTGTGTTTGGAAGATGCGAGTACCTTCCTGGAGGCCCCAGGGTCAGGGACTTTCTGCGTGTCCTGGCAGAAGCTCCCAGAGCGCCCAGGGTCAGGGACTTCCTGCTTGTCCCAGCAAGAGCTCCCAGAGGGCACAGACAGACGGGAAGGGGTGAGATCTGTGTTCTGAGTACGCTTGTGAGTTCACACTGACTCAGAGATGGCAACCACGCCCACTCCAGCTTCCCTGGCTCGGGAGCAAGTGCCTGCACTGCTCACGTGCCAACGATGTGGTGACCTGGGCTCTGGGGCACGCCCGTCCTACTTGTCCCTGTACATGCGTGTACTTACAGGCAGCTACTCCACTGAGTGTCCCTGTACATGCGTGTTTATGGGGCAACAGCCCATGTTTGTGTCTGCACACATGTTCTTACAGGGCAGTGTCCCTGCACACATGTTCTTGCGGGGCAGTGTCCCTGCACACATGTGTTCTCACGGGACAGTGTCTCTGCACATGCTTGTTCTTAGGGGGCATTGTGGTGCCAGGATCTTATCCCAGCTTCAAGCTTCTGGGTCTCTCCTGGCCCACAGTGTCATTTTTACTGCCATTCCCTTCACGCAGTGTTGTGATTTGAAGTGTCAGTTGTCACCTGTGTGTGGCTTTGCTGGGAGACCACCACTGTGGACCTCGCGGCTCAGGCCAGAGCTGGGTGCTCTCTGCGTGCGGCTTGAACTTCAGAGCCTCCCTGCTGGCATTTCCTGAAATGACAGGCATTCGACTTGGCCTTAAAAGGCCCCTAAAGCATGGAGACAGTGGACAGACCCTCAGGGTTCCCGGTCTACGTGGGTGACCGACCTGTCACGCCATGTCCATTTCTCCTCCCCGGGGATCCTGAGCGTTCCTGCAACCTCTGTGTCCCCTCCAGGCGTGGGCGAGTGGCCCTGCTCTCTGGTCAGCTGTCCCCAGCAGGCGAGTGAGGCCTGGAGGCAGGATGCCTGTGTGGTGCAGGATGGGGTGGAATCCAGGGTTCTCAGAGCCCGGCCCAGCCTGGTGACACGCACACACATGGCAGCACACGCAGACATGAACGGTGAGCTTTATTGAGGACACTTGCATCCTTGTCTAGGGGGACAGCGTCTCATGCTCGTCCAGCTGTGGGCGAGGGGCAAGCTCATGCGGTGGTGAGCGTGGCATTATCAGGGACACGCGGAGACTGGGTGGGTGCCGGGAACTCTGGACAGTCCATCAGTGCTTGCATCCAGACTCGGACTGCAGACTCCAGCCCCAAGTGAGGAGGAGCTGCGGTGGTTCCCTGCGCCCCACCCTGTGTGCTGCTGTGGGCGAGCGCACACTCGGTCCCCGATCCCCCCTGAGACGTGGGGCTGGCCTGGCTCCACCGACGCTGGAAGCTTGGCTGGTCACATGCTCAGTGATGAGAGCCGGGGACCCGTGTGCGGGGGACAGAGGTCTGCGCAGTGCTGGCCGCAGACCCCGCCTTCCCCGCCACAGAGGGGACAGTCCAGACAAGGAGCGTGGCCGCGGCACGACCAGCAGCCAGTGTGCAGACACAGAATTCGGAGACTGGACGTTTGTGGGAAGGCTTGAACAGTCCAAATGAAACAATTCACCTTTGATTACAACAAAACTCCAAAACAGGAAGCGACAAGCAGAGTGGCATGAGCGGCTAGCAGCCGCCCAGCAGCAGTGGGACAGACATCCGAACTCTGGCCAGAGCAGCCCAGGCGTCCCTCAGTCCCAGTCCTCAGTAGGTGGCGCTATCGGGCGCCTCAGTCCCAGTCCTCAGTAGGTGGCGCTATCGGGCGTCTCTGTCCCGGTGGCTGCCACGCCCGGTGCTTCAAGGTCCTGGGTCCAGCCTGACTGCTCCACCTGACCAGCCTGGGGACAGTGGCTGTGCGGCTCAAGTTCCTCAAGTGACACCTCCATGCGGGATGCAGAAGCTAAGCCCTGGCTCCATGCAGGAGGGGTGAGGGTCCCCCAAAAAGCTGCCACTAAGACCCACTCGCTCTCCCAAAACACAGCCACCTCCCTACCCGCTAAGGAAACACCCTTCCTGAGCACCACGGGACACATGACCCTTGGTAGGCACCCAGCACCAGCCTGGTCCCACAGCCCTGTGTGGGGGTGGTGACAGGCTGCCTGCCCAGGGTACCCCTGGCTCCTGCACCAGCAGGCGGCTGAGAGGCCCTCCTGCAGAGCGCCCCCCATGGCCAGGGCTGAGTCCGGCTCCTCTTCTTCCTGAGTGTGAACCCCAAGGCACTGGGGGACGCCTGCACGTCCCCACCCTCCCCACCCCTGCCCGGGGCCTGTGTGCTGCAGGGTGTGGGCTGCACCCTGGCTCTCCAGTCACACCCCCTTCCTGCTCAGCACCTCCCAGCATCCACAGAGATGCCGCTGCCAGCACCTGCCTGCCCCTACACCTGTCCTGAGCCTGCTGCCTCCACCCAGAGCAGGGGCGCGCTCAGGAGCGCCCCAGTTACAGTGACCGCCTCCTCAGACCTGTCAGAACGTGTGATTGTGTCCGCACCTCAGAGGCCAGCGAGCCACACCCCACGACAAAGCCCAGAGCTGCTCAGAAGCTGTTAGAAGGGGCCGAAGGTCCCAGGCTGAGTCCGGGGACACGGTGCTCAGCGCCCTCCTGCAGATCTGCACCCACATGCCTGTGTGTGCATATCTGGGAGGTGAGCGCGTGTGCATCGGCGTGGGAGGTGAGCACGTGTGCTCGCACGTGTGTGGGAGGGGAGCCTATGTTGTGCTGTGTGGCTGTGCGGGAGCCGGGCCAGGCGCGGGGATGCTGGCTGGCGCTGCCTCATCTCCTCCGTAAAGTGCCCGAGTGCCTGGTAGAACACTTGTGCTCGGAACCACGTTCCTCGCGGCGAATAAGTTATTTATTCACGGTCGCGCGCGGTGACGCCTACTCTCCTACGTGGAAGGAAGCTCTACTCGGTAGAACTCGGCTCCTACAGGGGACGGGGTCAAGCAGCTGCGGGAATACTGACTCACCGGCCGGCCGCGGGGTGCGGGGTGGGCGCAGCCGCCTCCGCGCCCGGTGCCGGCCCGCCCCGGCACGCGCGAGGCCCCGCCATGCCCCGCCGAGCTGCGACGTCCGCGCTCCGGGTCAGGGGCTGAGGGAGAACTGGTCCTGCTCGGTGGGCTTCTGCACCCAGGCGCCCAGGCCCGCCTTGATGAAGGCCGTGAAGAGCCGCGCCTTGGCCGTCTGGTACTCCTTGGCCACCAGCTTGGACTCGTGGTACACGCCGGGCTTGAGGATCTTGGAGCGGTGCAGGTGGATGGGCATCTGCGGAGACAAGGGCCGTGACAGGGCGGGGCGGGGCCTCAGGGACGCACCGGGCAGGCGAGAGGCCCCACTCCACTCCGCTCGCATGCCGCACTGGACTGCAGACACCTCGCTTGGCCACCCTCCAAGCCGCGGGCCCCGCCCCGCCCTATGCCGTGGGGGCGGGGCCATGGTAGTGACGCATGTAGGGGGTGAGCCGAACACACGTGGGGGTGGAGCAATGATAGTGATGTATTGGGGGCGGGGTCAAGGTAATGATGCACGTGGGGTGGGGCGAGCCGTGGTAGTGAAGCACGTGGGGGCGGGTCGTGGTAGTGACGCACAAGGGGGCAGGGCCATGGTAGTGACGCACGTGGAGGCAGGCTGTGGTAGTGATGTACTTGGGGGCGGGCCATGGTAGTGACCCATCATAGACCCGGGCAGCTTGTGGGGGCCTGGTGAGAGCGTATTTCACGTGGTAGTGGCACACGTGAGGGCGGGGTCGTGGTAATGATGCACGTGGGGCGGGGCCATGATAGTGAGGCACGTGAGGGCGGGGCCACGGTAGTGACGCATGTGGAGGCAGGGCTGGGATGCACGTGGGCGGGGCCATGATAGTGACGCACGTGGGGGGGGCGGGCCATGGTAGTGATGCGCACGGGGCGGAGCCGTGGTAGTGACACACAAGGAGGTGACGCACTTGGGGGCAGGCTGTGGAAGTGACGCATGTGGGGGCGGGTCGTGGTAGTGACGCACGTGGGGCGGGGCTGTGGTAGTGACGCACGTGGGGGGGCGGGCCATGGTAGTGATGCGCAAGGGGCGGGGCCGTGGTAGTGACACACAAGGAGGCGGGGCCGTGGTGGTGACGCACTTGGGGGCAGGCTGTGGAAGTGACGAATGTGGGGGCGGGTCGTGGTAGTGACGCACGTGGGGGCGGAGCCGTGGTAATAACGCACGTGGGGGCGGGCCGTGGTAGTGATGTACTTGGGGGCGGGCCGTGGTAGTGACCCATCATAGACCCCGGACAGCTTGTGGGGGCCTAGTGAGGGCATATTTCAGGGCTGGCTGCGTCGCGGGTTTGGGGAGTCTGGTTTGGCCCCAGTACCTTGCCATGCACGCGCATCCAGCGGCAGTACAGGGCGTGCTTGCACAGGCGTGACGAGCGGCCCAGCTCGTCCTTGCCCGTGGTGGCGTTGATGACCTCCAGGGCCGCGTCACCCACTGTCCAGTTGACGCTGAAGTTGGGCGCCTTCCCAGGCTGCCGTGCTTCTGCATTGCTGATGCCTGGACAGGACACAGGCGGGTGACCCGCGGCCCAGGAGAGCGCTGGCCCAGCAGGGAGAGGTGCAGGGGCCCTGGTCACCCTCCTGTGCCCACGCCGCACGAGGGGCCCCTCTCCGCACCTGCTGTGTTGCAAGTACAAGAAGCCAGGGTTCCCAGGTCACCTGAGCACCCCAAAAACGACTTGCCTTGGAAAGGCTCCTGTGAGCTATTTCAAAGACTCCCATCTAGAAATAGGATGCACGCCCCTGCCCCTGGGTCATTGGTGACTCTAGGGGAAGACGGGAGCACCTGCTGAGCCCGCCAGAGAGGTTCAGCACCTCACAGAGGCTGAGGCCAGTGTGGCACCCGGGGATGCTATGGTTAGAGTGCTCGTCCCTGTCAGCAGCCCTCACTGTCCAGGTAGCAGAGCTTGGGCAGCCACGGAGGTGGACAGAGGGTGCAGGGCAGGGGCTTGGGAATGTCTGCTTCCAGAAGTCACCCACATCCCCAGACACACCTCAGTCCTCAGTCCTCCAGAAGCCAGGAAAGTCAGGGAGCAGGAGCCAGGGGCAGCTCCATCGGGGCTTCGCCCAGACCGGCATGTGCTCCAACACCTGAGCTAGTTCCCAGTCCTACCTACACACTTGCGTGCTCAGGAAGTCAGGGGCCCCAGTGAGTCTCAGCTAATCAAGCTATCAGATCAATACGAGGGGCCAAGGGTGTGGTGCTGCTCAGGAGCTGCCGTGCTGGCGGCATCCAGGGATGCACCCAGCAGTGCTCAGGGGACCATGTGGCATCTGGAATTGAACCTGGGCTGGACACTGCCAGGCAAATGCCCTAACCACTATACTATACACTGTATCAGGAGTCAGAGACAGTACAGGGGTTAGGGCGCTTGCCTTACACACAGCTGACCTAGGTTTGATCTCTGGCACACTTAGGGTTCCCTGAACACCACCAGGCATGATCCCTGAGCACAGAGTGAGGAGTAAACCCCTGAGCTCAGTCAGGTGTGGCCCCCAAACCAAAGCAATGAAATTTAACTATCACAATACTGGGGGAGCATGGATAGAGGAAACAGAAGTCCGTGGGGAGAGAGATGAACCATCCCGAATCACAATGACTCAACTGTCCAAGCACCAGAAGTGGGCATGCACCATAGGTCAGGGAAGGCACAGCAGGAGGCAGAGACCTGTCCATGGGACACAGAACTGGACAGAGACCTACTCAGAGGACGCAGACCCCAGCACAGGACACAGAGACCCGCCCACAGGACAGAGACCTGCCCACAGGACAGAGACTCACCCACAGGACAGTGACCCACCTGTAGGACATAGGACAGAGACCCAGCCACAGGAAACAGACCCCACTACAGAACACAGAGACCCACTCATGGGACACAGACACGACCCACCCACAGGACACAGACCTGCTCCTGGGTCACAGACCTGCCCAAAGGACACAGACCGCCCAAAGGACAGAGACCTGCCCACGGAACAGAGATTCGCCCATGGGACAGAGACCACGACAGAAACCTGCCCACGGGACACAGGACCGCCCATGGGACACAGACCTGCCCACACGACACAGACCCCGTCCACGGGACAAAGAACAGGACAGAGACCCGCCCATAGGACACATTCTCATTTAAGAGAACAGGGGCAGGGCTAGGAACCAGCTGGAAACAGGCAGTAGGGCCGCTCATGGAAAGGGGAGGTGGAGAGGCAGAGCCAAGATCATGATGGAGAAAAAGGTCATTTATAACCACAATGGAAGTAGCTTCCTGACTAAACAACTTATTCATGGGAACCAACTCTTTGGGGGCCCTCCCAGCAGTGCTTGGGGACCTGTGTTCATTCTTGCCTGGCCACGTGGACTTGATGTCTGGCGCTCAGGCCTATGGCTACGGGACTGCTTGTGCCCAACAGGGCTACACCTGGTAGTGCTGGAGTGGGGTAGGTGGCGCAGGGGTGGGGTAAGCGGCGTAGGGGCAGGGCATATGCACAGGGGTGGGGTAGGTGGTACAGGGGCAGAGTATGCAGTGCAGGGGTGGGGTAGGTGGTTCCAGGACAGGGTATGTGGTACAGGGGTGGAGTATGTGGTGCAGGGGCAGGGTATGCGGTGCATGGGAGGGGGCAGGGTGGTACATGGTGCAGAGGATGAACTCAGGCTCTGCTCGTGTAGAGAACAGACCAGCCCTCTCAGCTGTCTGCACAGCTCCTAGCTCCCTAAATCCTAAGTGTGCAGTCACAGGGCTGGGACACACACTCAGTGACTGAGAAAGGCGGAAAGAAGGGGAAACGTTTTGAGTTGCCAGATTCCCACCATCCCTCCCTCAGTCGCCAGTGACCGGAGGCAGCTCTGTGGGTACCCTATGCTGGCCTGTAGGATCAGCTCCGAATACACACACAGCATCCAAGGACGGTTCAGGAAGGTTCTACACGGGCTGGGACCCCTAACACGGCTTCTCAGCAGGTCCAGGGGACCCAAGTCATCACAGAACCGAGTCACAAATGAACCTGAGCCATCCTGGATACAGTGCCCTAACCTCCAGGAGGTGAGAAGAGGAAGGCATCCACACACTGCCGGGGCAGGCCAACCAGGACTGCAGCAGTGACCACACCAGCCTAGCATGGAAGGAGCAAGAGAAGGGAGTGCTATCACCAGACCCCTAGGAACACAGAGCCATGGGAAAACCCACAAAACTCAGCAGACCCACAGTCCCTGGGCAGACCATTGGGGAAACAGCCATGTACCCATCTCGGGGGGGGGGGGAGGGGCTGGATGACAAGGTGTGACAGCTGCAGTCCCCGCACACAGACCTGAAAACGGGAGCCTCCACAGCTCCTGTCCCCCTCTGAGGCAAATCAGTGGCTTCCCTAGCACATCCAGCCTCACTGATCTCACACCTTCTCCTGCATCCGCGCCCTCCTCTTCTGCTCTGCCCTCCCAGGGGTGAGGCCAGGCCTCCCGCACATCTCACCTCACCCCCTGGGATGGAACTCAACAGATTCTGGGTTCTGTTTCCTCTGCTCTGGGGGATGTGGAAGAGCAGGGAAGGGCACTGAGCCTGCCCTTCACCCCAAACTTCAGCAAGGGTGTCGCTGGACAGCAAGGTGACCACAGTAGGGACCACATAAGTGACTGGCTGGTGGAGGGTGGCAGGCAGTGCAAGGTTTGCTGTCCAGTGGCGTCCCTGGTGCAGTGCTGATACCGCAGCACTGCCCACTGCACCCTACAAGGCTGTCCACTCTCCAAGGGAGACCACGGGCCTGGGGCTATCATGAGGTCTTGGATCCTGATTCTGGAGGACTCTCTGAGGAATGGAGAACAGGCCCTCTCTGAGGGATGGGGGAGAACAGGCCCTTTCTGAGGGATAGAGAATGGGCCCTCTCTGAGGGATGAGGAGAATGGGCCATCTTTTTTTTTTTTTTTGGCTTTTTGGCTCTTTGGGTCACACCTGGCGATGCACAGGGGTTACTCCTGGCTCTGCACTTAGGAATTACTCCTGGCCGTAGCTCAGGGGAACATATGGGATGCTGAGAATCAAACCCGGGTCAGCTGTGTGAAAGGCAAATGCCCTACCCACTGTGCTATCACTTCAGCCCCGAGAACGGGCCCTCTCTGAGGGATTGCAAGAATGGGCCCTCTTTGAGGAATGGAGAACAGGCCCTTTCTTGCGGGATGGAGAACGGGTCTTTTCTGAGGGATGAGGGAGAACAGGCCCCCTCTGAGGGATGGGAAGAATGGGCTCTGAAGATATGGGAAGAAGGGCCCTTTCTGAGAGAATCAGGGCAAATTGGTTCTTTCAGAGTGATCGCCAGTGTGACGTGTCCAGTGTCTGAAGGAAGGGTCTGGACTGCAAATCAGTACATGCGGTGGGGCTAAGGGGGACCAGAAAGGCATGGGGTCTTCATGCTGTACTCTAAGCCCTCAGGCTTGCCCTTCAGCAGTGAGCACAGCAGGTGGTCTCCTGGAGAGGCAATGTCCCTACACTTACAGTATCCACATGCACATTCATATTTATACATTCACATGTCTATGCTCATATAATCACATAGTCATACTCTACACATGTATGCTCTAACTCACACACAGTATACACAGGCACGCTCATACAATATACACAGGCATGCTCATACACTCACATACTCTGTGTATACATAGGCATACTCATACTCACACACAGCATACACAGGCATGCTTATATACTCACTCAGTATACACACAGGCACACTCATCATCACTGTCACTGTCATCACCGTTATCCCGTTGTTCTTCGATTTACTCAAGCAGGTGCCAGTAACATCTCAAGCCCTGAGATTTTACCAGCCTCTCCTTACTCGTCTTTCCCAACACATTGTTGGTTCTTTCGGGGTCAGGGGAATGAGACCCATTATTATTACTGTTTTTTTATTATGATGATTTTTTTTATTATTACTGTTTTTGGCATATTGAATATGCCACAGCTAGCTTGGCAGGCTCTGCCGTGTGGGCGGGATACTCTCAGTAGCTTGCTGGGCTCTCTGAGAGGAATATATATACATATTTCTCTATCAAATATGGTGTGGGTAATTATGGAAAATGGGTAAGGAGTGTCTTATGATGTGTCCAGGAATATGTTCACTCATATGTGAGGCTTGGTCCGAGTGCGTGGAAAGTGGCCTGGAGCATGACAGCAGTTGGGTAGTGGAAGGCAGCTTCCGGGTCTGGTTCCCTTAGGGCAGGGAGGGCTCTCACCCGCCCCCCTCTGGGGTGCCACGAGTGAAAACAGCCTGGCATGGAGTCCGCAGGCACACTCATATACTCATACAAATACATATTATACACAGGCATACTCATATACTCACACAATCACAGTATACACAGGCACACTTATACACACTCAGTGTATACAGAGGCACACTCACACACAGTATACACATACATGCTCACCCATATGCTCATAGCATACACATACATGCTTATACACACAGTATACACGGCATGCTCACATAGTCACACAATATACACATGCACACTCATACACAGGCACACTCACACTCACTGTAGACACAGGCACACTCATACACTTGCACACAGTATATACAGGCACACTTATACACACAGTATACACAGGCACACTCATACCTTATACACTCTCACTATACACATGCACACTCACAGTATAAACATGCATGCTCATACACACAGTATACACATGCACTCATACACCAATATACAGTATACACATGCATAGTCATATACTCATATACTCACACACTCACACTCTACACGTGTACACTCATACACAGTATACACATGCACTCATACACCAACATACAGCATACACATGCATACTCATACACTCATACACTCACACTCTACACATGTACACTCATACACAGTATACACATGCATACTCGTACAGCATACATGTGCACACTCATATACATATGCTATACACAGGCACTCTCATGCACTCACACAGTATACACATGCATGCTCATACACATTCACACTATACATATGTATACTCATACACTCACACATGCATCCTCATATTTACATGATCCTACACTGGTACATACACATCTCACACAGGTGTGCATCCACACCTATGCACACATGCATGCTCATACACTTACACACTCACACTATACATATGCATGCTCACATACTCACGCTATACACACTCTGAAAGACTTCACATTGGTATGAAGACACACACTTTTACACACATATGCTCAGATACACATATGCACATTCAAACATATACACACTACATACATGCATATTCATACTTACATGAGCCTACACTGGTAATTACATACCTCACACAGGTGTGCATCCACACACATATACATATGCATGATCATGCACTTATACTATACACATGCACACTCATATGCTTATACAATCACACACATACACATGCACTCTCACATACTTACCCACACATTACACACATGCACACTCACATACTTAAAAACACAATACACACTCCTACACTAACATTTCACATGGTTGTGCATCCACTTTGATACACATGCTCAAACACATACACACTATGCTCATGCTTACACACACTAAACATATGCCACAGTGTTACACACCTTACATGAATGTGTATCCAGTTTTACACACATATCAGACATCCACGTGCACTCAAACTCTTACGCACATACACACTATACACATGCACACTCATATTTATACACACAATACATACTCTACACTGGAACTTACACACCTCACATGGGTGTGCATTCAGTTTTATACACATCCACTCACATGCACATTTGCTCAGAAACACAGATTATACACACTCTTAACTTGATAAACATTACATGGGTGTTCATCACATGCACATGCATGCTCATGCACTTACACACTCCACTGACACCTTACACAAGTGTGCATCCACACACATATACACATGTACACTCACACTCACACACACTCCAATACTGAGCACCCACACACTTAGACACACACTCATGGAGAAGCAGGGAAGCATGGAAAGAAGGAGGGGCCAGAGCTTTGGGGAATCACATTATATACCCTAATTTATATACATAACCCCACTGATCCCCCTCCAGACTTTATTAGCATGAGGAATGATATCATCTCACATGTCCATATTAGGGCATGTGCAATCTGACTAGTCAACCCACAATTCACCACACCCTCATTTGCATACTCAATCAGACTGGCTATTCCAGTCAGATGATTTCTTATGATATACCCAATTAGAAATCAGAAATGACTAGGGGGCAGGACCACATAATGTATATAAGCCCCGTAACTGTATAGAAGAGCCCCTTTTGTCCCCTGCTTCTGACCTTGCAAATGGCCTTGTCTATATAGCTGTTAAATAAGAGTTGTCAAACAGAAGACCTGCAGTGGTTGGAGTGCTAATTAATCTTAAACATGCACAAGAACCTAGAGCAGATGGCTCTCAGCAGTACCACAACCATTACACACAGGAACACACCCAACCACACGCTTACACATACACTGACACTGACACGGGTTTCACACATAAGCTTACGCATGCATACTCTTACTGACACATGCACGCGTACACATATACACACTCCTACTCTGACATGGATACTTAATACGTAGGTGGTAACACACATTCCTACACTTACAAATATACCTCATACACATGCACACATACACACTCAGGCACACACTCACGCCCACCGTGTATACTCAGGCCCCTTTCATCCCTGTCACTCACCTGCACCATCTCCACATAACTTGCTACTTTCTGACATCACACAGGACTGGCTTCCACACAGGGGTGCACTCTGGGGAGTGAGCACACTCCCTCGTCCCGTACCAAGATCGCTCCAACCCCTCAGATCCCCACACTCAGAGTGACTGCCAATACTTCGCCAAGCGCTGGCTGCACTGTGGATCCTGTCCCCTAGCCCTCTGGAGCCTGGGCCCGTGTCCTTGTTCTCCCAAGCCAGGCAGCATGCAGGCCAGCAGCTCTGCCAGAGCCTGGGTGGCAAGGCAGGTGCAGGATCTCTTCCTACGGGCACCATGTTTGGCACGGACTGGGAAGAAGAGATGAGAGCTGTGGAGGCCCCAGGCAGGCACCTGGTTCCACACATCCCTCCTCCCCCCACAGCACTGAGTGCCCCCGGGGCCCAGCCTGGTCTGCAGGCCCTTCCCTGACCCCTGCCACCTCCTGTGACATGCTCACACACGAGCAGTCAGTAAGCACTCAAGGACTTGCCCACTCACCCAGAAGGCCACACCCACTCCTGCCAGAACCCCATGTGGGTGAGAGTGGGTCTCCCACGTCAGGGCTGGCTGACCGCAGGCAGTGCCTGTGAGTGTATAGGGCAATCCCGAGATGCCTTCACCACCCCTTCCACAAGGGGGTTCCCTGCTCTAACCTCCTCAGCCCCTCAGTACCAGCTGTGGCCTTGATCTGAAACTCTTGCTCCTCCTCATTCCTGCTCTGCTCCAACACGCGGTCCAAGCCCTCCCACACACGTGCACGCACACATATGCACACACGCACGGCATGCACATGCGTGCACACACGATCACACGCAAACATACATGCACGCCGTTCAGCCCTGTTAGCCGGCAGCAGTGGGCACCACAAACAGGAGGGCCGCACACAGGGCAAACGGGGTTTAGTTCCAGGTTAAGGTTTAGTTCTGAGCTTAAAAGGTGAGTAAAACGGTATTGCCAAAAGGTGAGGTACCTTCACTGTGTCCTTTCAAACAAGGGCATGGGGGGTTAGGGGCCTCGAATCAGAGGTTCGGTGCCTTTTAGGGTTGGCCACTGTTTTCTAAAAGAAAAACGACAAACAGACCGGTAACATGGGGCGGGCCCACAGGCTCCTCATATCTTCCGGCCTTTGCCCTGTCACCCTCCACATGGGGTCCATGGCCCATCCCCACCATGGGCCCCCAAGGTCTGCTGGACACACCTAAGGCTGCATGAGGAGGGTGGGGGGAGTGCCAAGGCTGAAAATACTGTAAGGGGAACTGAGGTCCTCTGGGAGAGACAGGGGACCTGCCTGACCCTGGATGGCCCCTGACCCAAGATGACATCTTCTCTCTCTGACCCTGGACAGCCCCTCCCTGACCCTAGATGACCCCCTCCTTGACCCTGGACAACCCCTCCCTGATCCTAGATGACCCTTTCTCTGACCCTGGATGGCCCCTCCTTGACCCTGGGTGGCCCCTCTTAACCCTGGATGGCTCCTCTCTGACTCTGAACAGGCCCTCTTTGACCCCAGATGACCCCCTCCCTGAACCTGGACCGCCCCTCCCTGATCGTAGATGACCCGTTCTCTGACCCTGGATGGTCCCTGGCCCTGGACAAGCCCCTCTCTGACCCTGGATGACCTCTTTTCTGACCCTCAACGGCCCCTCTTAACCCTGGATGGCCCCTCTCTGACTCTAAATGGGCCCTCTCTGACCCTAGATGACCCCTCTCTGACCCTGGATGGCCCTTCTTAACCCTGGATGGCCCCTCTCTGACCTTGAATAGGCCCTCTCTGACCCTAGATGACTCCCTCTCTGACCCTGGATGGCCCCTCCCTGACCCTGGAAGGACCTTTCTTTAACCTGGACAGCCCTTCTCTGACCCTGCAAGGTCCCTCCCTGGCCCTAGAAGGGCCCTCTATGACCCTGGATGGCCCCTCTCTGATTCTAGATGACCCCTTCTCTGACCCTGGATGGCCCCTCCCTGACCCTGGATGGCCCCATCCCTGCCCCTGGGGTATCAGGGCCAGGCCACGCCCCAGGCTGGTACTTGCCACTGAGCAGGGGCTTGTTGAGCACGTAGAGGGGCGGGAGGCCCTCGATGTTGGAGATGCGCTGGTACATGGCCCGGGACAGGTGGTCCCCGTGGTAGAGGCTGCCCAGGATGATGCTGGAGAAGTAGACGGGCTCCACGAAGATGCTGAGCAGGGAGCCCTGCACGCCCACCACGTTCCACCTGGGACACAGGCCGGGTCAGGGGATAGCCACTCTGCAACAGCACTGCCCACTGGCCCCTTTCATCCTCTTGCCCCCTTCCTGGGGAGGGGGGGCAAACTGTCCTCCCACCCCCCTCCTGCAGAGGGTCCAGCAGTAACCCTGGGAAGACACGAGATCCCCAGCACCCCACAAACTGCAGCCCAGCCAGCAGGAGCCCAGCTGCCCCGGCCTGTCTGCCCTTGGCTCCAAGTGCACGGGGCCCCACACAGGCCACTGCCAGAGACACCTGTGCCATTCAGGAGCTGCCTCATGCCCTGCAGCGCTGCTGCACCATGAGACCCACTTGTTTCTGGGATAGACAGTGGCCGGTAGGCGTGCACACTGCTGGCCTTACTGGACACTAAGGCACAGACATCACCCGCACCAGCTGGGCCGCAGGCCAAGGGTGCTGATGCACGTCCTGAGGACCCGGGTGCTCTGTCAGGGGTTGGGCTGGTCCCCACCTCCACACTTTGTTTCTTTCCTGAAGCTGGACCCACCTCTCATCGGCAGCCATGGGGGTGGTGTCTTTGGAGAATGTCCACTGGGCCCAACAGAGAGAAACCTTGCTGCCAGTCATGCCCCACCCAGGGGGATGGGGGTTGAGGGACCGGGGGCCTCACCGTGCCATCTTGTCGCTGCAGGACATGGTGAGCAGCCTCTCGCCCTGCAGAACCCCGTCCCACGTCTGGATGCTGGCATTGGAGTGCACGGGGATGGTGCCCTCCCCGGACTCGATCTTGGTCCGCAGCTGGCCCCGCGCCTTGCGGTTCGGGTGTCTGTCTGCCGACTCTAGGGAGCAAGTGTGGAGAGCAGCCATGAGGCCCTGCAGCCCCTCGTGTGGTGCAAACAGGTGCCCACCCGCCATGTGCAGGGGCAGGAGAGGGCCCCACAGCACAACAGCCTGTGGAAAGGTGCGGGAAGTGACGGGCAGGTGCCATGGGGGAGGGGGCTGGTGGTCCCCGCATTTTCCAGTGGGGCTTTACCTTTCTTTTTTTTTTTTTTTGCGTTGCACTCAGCGATGCACAGGGGTTACTCCTGGCTCTGCACTCAGGAGTTACTCCTGGGAGTGCTCAGGGGACCAGACGGGATGCTAGGAATCGAACCTGGGTTGGCCGCGTGCAAGGCAAATGCCCTACCCGTTGTGCTCTCTCTCCAGCCCCTCCAGTGGGGCTTTAATTCTTAAATAAAACCTGAGAGCAGCAGAGGCCACCAAAGGGAGCAGCCAGTGCCCAGAGCTGTGGCTCTCCACGTGCCACAAACGTGGCCCATTTAATTTCCTTTCCTGTACTTAAGAACACTTCGCAACTTCCCACAGGGAATTGAGGATCATGCTGCTTCATAATCAAGGAAGATGTGGCATCCAGACTGCAAGCAGCCTCCGGAGCAGCAGGTAGGTTTGGGGGCAGCACCGGGGTCCCCACCAGGAAGGCACTGCAGGGCAGCCTCACAGCCATACCTTCCAGAATGGGCTCGTGAGGCGAGAAGATGCGGGCGTCTCCGCAGGGCGAGGTGCTGATGTATAAGTGGAACTGCACCGTGTCCTTCAGCCGGAAGCCCCCACGCTCCGAGTGCTGGAAGATGGATTTCTTCTGGTCCTCTCTGCTGCTGCCGGGGGCACGTGCCAGTGAGTGGTTCCACTGTGCCCGGGGCACCCACCCGCACCCAGAGCCAAGGAAGCTGGTACCATGTAGATTGTGAGGTTGACCCCCAGAGCACGGACACAGGGTCCGGGCGAGTCCCCTCCCCTGCAGGCCTGTAAGGACGAGGCCAGCACAGAGAGGCAGAGGGAGCCGCTCGTGGTCACCGTGTGTGCGTGGCAGGGGCGGGGAGGTGCCCGCACCTCAGGGCGAGCTCGAGCTGGGCGTACAGGAACCTGAGCAGCGAACGGCGAGAGATGATCTCTGCATGGCAGTCATTGAGCGCCAGGCCGCGGTCGCTCATGTACTCCCCGTTGATGCACTTGGTGCCCGTGGACACGCTGATCACTTTGGCATCTTTCACGTCCGTGCCTGCAGGACAGAAGCCACAGGCTGGCTCTCTGCTTGGTGCCCCTGTGCCCCAAACTCCCTGCATCGGGGCCGGCTCCTGAGGCCACACCTCTTCCCTGGGTCCTCTTCCCTGGTGGGAAGACATCCGGCATGGCCACCTCGGGAGGAGCCGAAGGGAAGAGCACATGGGTGGAGCTGTTCCTGCACCCAGAGGGATGGGGACAGGGAGGGGCCACCTGAGTGCTCCCCAGACAAGATGCCACACCCCAGGTGTTTTAAGTGACAGCGTTCCATTGGGGCTGCTGGGGAGGGCCTCCAGGCCCCACCCAAGGGGGCTCAAAGACCCAAAGTCCTTGGAGCAGGTCCAAACACTCAAGCCATAGCACATGGCTTCGGCAGAAAGGGCACTGCCTGCTGACACTTCAGCACCTCAGCACCCCCAGGGCAGCTTCTGTGCCCCACAGAGAGCCGTCGGGCAGCCAGGGCTGGCAGGGGTCCAGCAGGTCTTGGGCCTGTGTGGCTTCAGCACGGGTGTGGCAGGGCCAACTCTGCCATTCATGCCAGCAGAGAGGCCTGGGCACCCTCCAAACTGTACCTGTAGTCATGACAACACCAGCCAGGACCTTCCTGCGCGCGTGAGGGGAGGAGAAGTTGTCAGTCAGATCCCCGAACTTGTCCAGGACCAGGCGGGCCACCGCATCAGCCAACACCTGTGGGCACAGCAGGGCTCAGGGTGTGGACACCATGTGTTGGTGTGCACTCGGGTGCAGCTGTATCCAGACATACGAGGATAGGTTGGCACCACCTGCTGAGTGCCCACATGTGCCTGCAGTCCCAGCCACGCAGGCATCTGCATGTGTGTGCAGGAATGTGCATGTGTATAAGGCATGTGCATGTGTGTAAAGCATGTGCATGAAAGCATGTACATGTGTGTAAGGTATCTACATGTGTGCAGACATGTGCATGTGTGTGCAGGTATGTGTATGTGCAGGCAGGCTCGTGTGTGAGCAGGCAGGTCTAGTTGTGGGCATGGGTGTGCACCTATGTGCACTTGTGTGCATCTGTGTACGTGCACGTGTGTACATCTGTGTGGGGTGTATACCTGTGTGCATCTGTGTGTGTCTGTATGCATGCCCAGCTGTGTGCAACTGTGTGAGGCATGCCCAGGTGTGCATCTGTATGCGTGTATGCATGCAAACATAACAGCTGCATTCACAGACATGCAGAGAAGCCCCATCCCCAACCAAATCTGGTGCCCCCAGCCAGGGACTGGCACCAGTGAAAGCAGGTGGGACATGCAGCACAGATGGAGAAGAGGGAAGAGCTTTGCCCCAAGTCCTTTCACCCCAACACCTTAGGCTGGCCCTGTGCCCATCCACCCACCAGGGGCCAGCACCCGGCACGCTCTAGTCTCAAACACAAGCCAGTCAGCAGGCAGGAGTCACCAGTCTGAAGGGACCTTTCCGCAGCAAAGGCTCTGGCCTCGCTGAGACAGGAAGCCAGGGCATAGTACTAGGCCTGAAGGGCTACAAAGAGCTGAGGGACCTACAGATCACCCAGGCAGGACCCACAGATCACTCAGATGGGACCCACAGATCACCCGGGCAGGACCTACAGATCACCCAGGCGGGACTCAGAGATCACCTGGTGGGACCCACAGATCACTAAGTGGGACCCACAGATCTGGGCTTGCCCAGGTAATAGCCATGTGGTGGGTGGGAAGGTGCTGCTGAGGGGAGGGAGAGGGGCTCCAGGCCAGAGGTCTAGTGGGAGGCCCCCAGGGGCATCCAGGAACACAGTTGCAGAGTCGGCATTGGGAAGTCCTGGGACCCCCCTCCAGCAAGCAGCAGAGAGCCTCCACCGCTGAGAGGGGAGTGGTGGGGAGGGGTCAGGGCGCCCAGCAGCACCCACATTCCTGGGGCGTGGTAAGTGCACCAGTACCCTCAGCTCGAACCCCTGTGACTGCCTCACACAGAGGCAGCAGGAGGCGATGCTGCGCCAGTCCCCACTGTCACTCAGGGGACATGGTAGCTGAGCTGCACGTCCCCAGGAAGGTGCTGGAGCAGAGGCACTGCGGGGAGGCGTCCCCTCCCGGGAAACGGCAAACTGAGGGCCTTGAGCAGGAGTCATGGGGTGGCACAAAGGCCTCCCAGCCTCAGAATCCCCAGCACTGGCCGAGCACGGAGGAGTGTCCTGGGCTTCATGGATGCTGGCCCAGCAAATTCTGGTCACAGCACACAGACCTGGGCCAGGGCAGGGCTGCGAACACAGTGCGTGCCCACACACGCAAACACGTGTGCACACAACACAGGCACACATGCTCGTAAACACAGCACCGATGTACACACCGATGGCAGTGCACACCATGCAGAGACCTGCACGTGCAGGTACAGGCACACATGCAAATGCACACATATGCACTTATGAGCACAGAGGTGCAGGTGCACATGTGCACATACATATACACTCACAAGTATGCACAAGCACATGCGTGTGGCTTCCCCGTCCCCTCTGGGAACTGGACAGGGCAGCCACAGCCCTGCACCATGAGGCCATGGCTGCCCAGAGGAATCAGTGCCCACGTGGGCTTGTGGTTCTGAGCTGCTCTGCGCTGAAGGCATCCGGGAGCGGCTGGCTGGCGCATCCCTCCCATGCCCACCATGGCTAAGGATTAGCCGGCTGTGCTCGCCTCTCCTGACCCTCCTCCCACAAGTGGCTGAGGGGCACCTCCCTGTCCAGAGTCCAGTGCCCTGGGTGCAGCAGGACACCGGGTGTTGGGCAGACTGGGGGTCGCCACGTCGAGAGAGGGTGCCTGAGCGGCTTGGGGGCTGAGCTCCCGCCTCCCCCAGGGCCGCCCTGCGGCCCCTCACCTGCGGCGAGTGGAGCTGCAGTCCCTTGCTGGCCACGGGCAGGCGGGATGGTGTCTGATCCAGGTGCAGGTTGAAGATGGCAGCCAGGGCAGACTGCGCAGCGCGGGCCTTGGCCAGCTTCTTGTTGCGGCCCGAGCCCTCGAAGAACTGCCCGTCCACCACCACCGACATGACGAACTTCTTGGCGTGGCTCTCCCCGCTCTCAGACAGGAAGTCGTACCTGAGGCCCGGCCGCAGCTCGTTGAGGATCATCACGGGGTTCTTACCACTGGGCGGTGGGAAGGGGGGCGGCACGGGCAGGGGCGGCTGGGCCAGGCTAGCGGGCACGGGCGAGGCAGCCAGGCTGAGGTCCCCGCTGGAGCTAAAGGAGTCCTCGCCATTGGCGCCCATGTAGAAGGGCACCTCAGAGCGTTCCGGCGTCTCGAAGCCATTGAAGAGTGCATCAGGGAAGTCGGCCTGGTCCGACGTGAAGTCGGTCGTTGTGGACAGGGTCCGGCCCATGGCCAGGTGCGCCTCTGAGGCGTTGGGGAACTGCACGAAGGAGCGCAGGGCCTTCTCGGCCGCGTGCAGTTTGGCCTTCTTCTTGGTGGGGCCGCAGCCCTCAAACACCTGCCCGTTGACCTCGACGGCCATGACGAAACGCGGGGCATGCACGGGCCCTGTCTGTGAGAGCAGCGCGTACTGCAGCCCAGGCTTGATCTCATTGAGCTGCATCAGTGCATTCTTGGGCAGCGCTGGCCCCGGGGCCCTCCTCCTCTTCTTCAGGCGGAACTTGGCGCTGCCGTTGCTCCCCTCCTCCAGGGCCCGTTTCCTGCCACCCCCGTTGGAGAGCAGGGTGCCCTCGCCGGGCCCTGGGGCGCGGCCATCAGGGGCGGGCCCGGCACCCAGCCCCGAGGGCTCCTCGGCCCCTGCACTGCTGGAACCTGCAGTGCCCAGAAAGAGTAACTTACAACGCCTTCGATGCAGGACCTTGTAAATGCAAAATTTATAGGTTCCTTGGTCGCTCTCTGACTGGGTGGGTGGTGTGTGCTGATGCGGCCACTCGACCCGGGGGTACCAGGGGGACTCGGGGACAGCAAGCAGGCTGCCTGCTCTGTCTACACTGTTCACGTGAGGACTGGGGGCTTTAGACCACTTTAGACCAAGCAATGACACCGGAGTACCTACAGCTCAGAGTCTGGCTGCTGAAACGGGCAACTGGGTGAGGACCAACCCAGAAGGACCCGGAGCAGGTCCAGAGTCAGACTGAGCTTGGTCATTCCGCTCCACTCAGGGCCGCGGCTCTGGTCGGCCAGGACAGCAACGCTCTCCAGCCGCCAGGCGACCCTGGCTCAGCCTCGGCAGACAGCCTGTGCCATCACACCATACGCTGGCCGTTCAGAGACCACCTAGGAGCTGCGCCCATGAAGGTAACACAGTCTCACCCTAAACGGGGGAGGGTTCTTCTCTGAACCCCTCTCGTCGCCCAGAGAGCTGTAAACAGACAGAGAAGGGGCCAGAGCTGCTGGCAGGTGACCCATTCCTAACAAAACCCGGCAACCGCTGCATCTTTCAGGAAATGATTACTTGGTGGACTTACAAAACAATTTGGTCACCACCTTCTAAAGTAATAAAAGTGACAAGAAAAAATTTCGAACTCTAAATGTGGTTGTACTCCCGAAGAGCAATGAAGAAGCGGGTGGCCAGGCTCAATCAAGAGCAGCCGGTGACCATAGCCCGTGGGAAATGCAGCCACATGCCTGGCCCCCAGGGTGGGAGTCCACAGGAAAACTCTGAAGTACCCCAAGTGTTTGGGGGTGACATGGAGAATGGGGCACGGCAGGGCAGTGAGTGACCCAGAGACTAAGTGCCTGAGTGGTCAGCTGTCCCCACTAAGCTCTGCTTACAGGAGGCCCCTGACAGAGATCCAGCCAGGGATGCCTCGGTGTGGTTGGGCAGGGTGGGGAGGGGCCAACATGGAATCGGGGCGGGGCCAGGGGGCAGGGGGCGGGCAGCTGGACCTCTCTGGGCAACTGTCCCCTCTGACTCTAGACACACACCACCTCTCCCAGTGACAAAGCGGCCACCGGAATGCGCACTAAATTTTCATTTATAACATCCTCCAGCAAAAGCTCGATAGGTTACTCCTTTTGGTACTGGGAGGAAACAAAAGGTTATAAGCCAGATCCGCAGCTGTGACCCTGCACACAGACGCTTCACAGCACGGTCCCCAATCCTACGGTCTCTGATCCCACATGGACCGTCCCAGACCCCTCAGGGACCATCCCCGACCCCACAGGGACCGTCCCAGGTCCCTAGACTCATACTCCCTTCCCCAAGGCAGAGAGAGATGACACGGTATCACTCAGCCCTTCTTGTGACCAGGAGGCAGGTGAGGTGCCAGGAGGTGCCAGGAGGCAGGATGTGCTGCAGGTGCCTGTGCCCTGTCCCTGCGCCCAGAGAGCCACTGAGAGGAGAAATGGTGCAGCCTCCTCAGTGAGAGAGGCACTGTGTGGCCCTCACCTCCATGCAGGTACACCCGGGGTTCTTGGGGGCCCACTGTCCCCGGGAGGGCAGGCAGCCAGGGCTCTTGGGGTGTCGTGGTAACCATGAGCTGTGCTGTGCCAGCTCTGGACAGGACCTGGGCAGGTAGTGCCCTCAGCAGGGAGCTGCGTGGGACCAGCACAGGCCCCCCAGGGCTGAGCCAAGTTGGAGCCGCAGTGCTGGGGTCAGGGTCCGTGGGGGCCCACAGCCTGGGGCTTACTCAGGTTCTCGCTGTCCTCAGCGTCCATTGCCGGGGCCGCAGGGCACTGCCTGGGGAACTGGAGGCTGAAAGACAGTAAGGGGGCATGATCTTCCAGTCGTGGGGCACCAGGGTACATCCTGCTCGCGGGAAGGACCCAGCTCCTGCAGAGCCCAGGGGCGCTGGCTGGGGTCTGGACCCTTCAGCACAGCCCACACATAGGTCTGGGCAGGGGCTGCTCCGCCACAGATGCAGGGACGAGGCAGTCTGGAGCCCAGACCCAGGGTCCCTCCCTGCCCTTCACAATGGGGAGAATTTCCGGCCCAGAAGCTCTTGCCTACAGGAAGCAGCCACGCCAGCCAGGCCAGGACTGGCACAGGCCACCGTCTGCAGGAGCTTCCACAGGGCATGGCTGCTTTGCATGGTAAAAGGGGGCACTAGGCCCGCATGCACACGCCAGCTCTCCCGGGTGCCACACGAGTCACACACCTGCTGATGTGACTGCAGGTGGAGCCAGCGGGGGTGTGAGGCGCAGTCACCCCAAAGAAGCCATCGGCCGTGTCCGGGTTCAGCGTCTGCTGCTGTGTGGTCCTCCGTGTGGCTGGCGTGCGGTCTGCGGCCAACTGCGGGAGAGACGAGTTGTCCGCTGGGGCAGTGCAGGCCGTGCCCACTGCGTGTGGACTCACTGCAAGGGCAGTGGGGGGTGGGCGGGGCTGGGTGGTGCTAGCCCTTCAGGCATGTGGTGTGTGCCCATATGACAGTGTGTCCAGGTAGAGGCTGCTGTGAGTGTGTAGTCAAGTGCGTCTCTGAATACAGAGTCTGAGTCTGGCCACGAGCTTCTCTGGAGGCCCTTTACGGGGAGCTGCCAGGCCCTTTCTTTTGTTTTGAGGGGGCCACCCCCAGCGGTGCTCAGACTCACTCCTGGCAGGCTCAGGGGACCACATGGGGTGTTGAGGATAGAACCCGCAGTACCATCACTTGGGCCCCACCTTCTGAGCCAGCCTCCCCGCTGGTCTGGCTCCTCCACGCACACCTCCTGCCCGGCTAGACTCATGCATGCACAGCATGCGGGGCTGCATTCTGCGGGGACTGAGCTCGATTCCTCGGGTCCCGCTCCTGAGGGTGCAGGCCATACCCATGAGCTCACCAGGGACAGCGTCGGCCCCACACAGTCTGGGCAGGGCCATCTGGCTCTCTGGAGCGAGGTCTGAGAAAGGCCACATGGCCCCAGGGGACTGCATCCCCTTGTCTGGCATTTCCTGGGGGTCCACAAGGTGCCCTCCAGCCTCTAACCCACCCTTGCAGTCAGCACTTATGGGCTGGACTGCAGGGGTCTGCCCCAAGGCACGTGCCACCCACAGGGCACCAGCCCTTAGCAGGGTGCTCTGTGGTCCTGTGGGAGCCACGTCCAGCGGAGCACAGATCTGAGGATGAGACCTCCCCCAGCACAGCACAAGGCCCCAGCATGCATGCACCACTGGGGGTCCTTGCGGATGGCACGGGGCTTCACTGCCCATGATCGGGGGCCTGGGGCCCTGGGAGCCAGGTGTGACTGTCCACAGTAGCAATGTGAGAGAAGCCAAGGCCAGCAGCTATCCCTCAGGCCTCCTGAGCTGAGTGCCACAGCCAGCGACCCTCCTCGAAGGTCCCCCACAGCATGGAAACATCAGAGCTGACCCGCGACTTCGGGAAGCAGATCCCGGCTCTCCCTGCGTGCCCCCTCTGGGCAGAGAGCATCTCCTGGGCTTGCTGGGCAGGGGGGATGGGCTGCCCCAGCCTGACAGGACACAAGGCAGCACCCCACAGACACAGCCGCTCCCCCCGTGGGTGCCACATCCAGAGCTGCACCAAGTGAGGCTCTGTCTGCTGCCACCCCACGCGCCCCCTCAGAGATACACACGGCAGGTACCACGCACCCAACCACAGGACAAGGAGAACACGGGTCTAAGCAATGCTGGACAAGGTTGCAGTTCGGAGAAGGGCCGGGAATGTTTCCAAGTGGTGCTTGTGGGTGGGTGTATGATGGATGGATGAATGAGAGGGTGGGTGGATGGTGGGTGGTGGGTGGGTGCCATCCCGGCCTACACTGTCCCGTCACCACACCTGCACCTCAGAGACAAACCTCAGACCCCAGGTCCTGGGCTGTCCCCATGAGGACACTGCAAAGCACCATGCACTCCCAGGGTCGCCTGTAGCCCTGTCCCTGAGTGTCTCCCACCTGCACTCAGAGGGGACCCCTCCTGCTCTGGGTCTGCCTCTCTTCCACGCGCCACACCCCCACTTCTCCAGGGCGGGACCCCTGGGGCAGTGACATTCTGGGGAGTAAAAGGGGCACTTCATGGTAGGACACAAGTGCAACAGCAAAACTCATACATGGGGGACCTCTGGTGTCCCCCCCCCCATCCACCCCTACTCCTCCAAACGGAAGGTTCCAGTGAGTGATGGTGTTCACCCAGGCTTCTCCCCTGCACCGAGGCCCGGGAAGAGGCCGCTGCAGAGACTTGGGAGGAAGCCCAGCATCACACAGAGGGGCTCTGCCAGGAGCCCCAGAACCGAGATGAGCCCAGGCTCTACCTCAGCACCCCCACCCCATGCCCCATCTTAGGGGTAACTGGGAGAAGCGCAGAAGCCACAAAATGGCCCACGGAAGGTCTGCATGTGCGCCAAGGCCAGTGTGGGCAATGCCTCAGGTCTGGACTCACCCGGACTGGGGGACCTCAGTGGGGAGCAGCACTGATGATGGACAGCGCCAGACCCAAACACCTCAGTGCTGCCAATTCCGCAGAGCGACCCTGTGCCACCAGGGGGCAGCAGAGCGCCGTGCTGCCTCTGTGGGAACAGGAACCTGGAAGTTTCCTAGAAACCTTTTCAGGGCAGGATCAAGGCTTGCTCAACCTCCTGAATCAGCGCGGGCCTTTGTCTCATCCCTACTGGCAGTTTATCAGGACTCGCTCCTCCCTGGAGCCTCAATATCCCACGCTGGCCGGGCACTGAAGCCAGATGCCCCATAGGACAGTGGCTCTCGGTGACTAGAGATACCCCAAACCAAGACACCATCATGTAGCAGACCGAGTCACATTTACACCTGCCGACTCACAAATACCCTCTCACACCAGTCCCCTCACACTCACAAATGCCCCCTCACACCTGCCCCTCATACCTGCTCCCTTACACTCGTCCCTTACACCAGTCCCCTCACAACTGCCCCTTCACAACAATCCCCTCACAACTGCCCCTTCACAACAACCCCCTCACAGCTGCCCTCACACCTGCCCCCTCACACCAGTCCCCTCACAGCTGCCCTCACACCTGCCCGACAAACCTGTCCTCTCACACTAGCCCCCTCACACCTGCCACCTCACACCTGCCTCTCACAACAGTTTCCTCACACATGACCCCTCCCATCAGCTCCCTCATACTAATTTTCTCCCTCCTGCCCCTTCTCACCCGTCCCTTCACAACAGTTACCTCTCACCTGTCTCCTCATACCAGCCCCTTCACACAGTCCCTTCACACTAGTTCCCTCACACCAGCCTCTCACAACAGATGCCTCACACATGACCCCTCCCATCAGCCCCCTCATTCCAGTTTTCTCCCACCTGCCCCCTCTCACCTGTCCCTTCACAGCAGTTGCCTCACACCAGCCCCTTCACACTAGCTTCTTCACATAGTCCCTTCACACGAGTCCCCTCACACCTGCCTCATACATGACCCCTCCCATTAGCCCCCTCATTCCAACTTTCTCCCACCTGCCCCCTCACCCAGTTGCCTCGTACCTGCCCCCTCTCACCAGTCCCTTCACACCAGTCCCCTCACACCTGGCCCCTCACATCAGTCCCTTCACAACAGTTGTCTCTCACCTGCCCCCTCATACCTGCCCCTCACACCAGCCTCCTCACACTACTCCCCTCACACCTGCTCCCTCATACCAGTTGCCTCACCCCTGCCCCCTTCATCGGCCCTCTTACACCTACCACCAGGCAGGGGGTACTAAGCAGAGGGGCACCGGGCAGAGGAAAACCAAGCTTGGGGGCGACTGGGCAGAGGGGGCAGCTAAGGCAGGAGGGGCACCGAGCAGGGGCAACACACAGCAGGCACTGGGGTACTGGGCAGCGGGGACTCTGGGCAGAGAGGATACCAGGCCAGGTGACATGGGTAGGGTGGACACGGGTCTGACGCACACGGCATGGTCCCGGAAGCAGTTCTGGGAGACAGGACAGGAGGCAAGTGGCACCTGGGGAGTACCGAGCCCTGAGGACACCAGGACCGCCAGGGTCACGGCCGCTGTCAGCGCCTGGGGACCAAAACATCAGCCTCCAGCGAAGCCACCCCACCGCGGGGAGAGGGGACTGGCCGCCAGCCCTGACCCCTCACGGGCGCCTGCTGCCGGCGGGGACAGCTGGACACCGGCAGGGTCAGGAGGGGCGACACAGGTGCCGCCGCCACCTGCCAGCTCCACCTCCATGCAAGGCCCACACCTCAGGCCCATGCGGGACGGCGCAGGCTACGTACGCGCTGCAGGCAAGGCCACTCGGTGCGCAGCGCTCGGCATGCTGGGACATGGTGGGCGTACAGCACAGGGCACGCTGGGACACAGGCGAGCACGCAGGAAGGGCACGCTGGGACATGGGGGAGCACAGAGCCCAGGGCATGCTGGGACATAGACATGTGCACAGCACAGGGCACGCAGGGCCATGGGCGAGCGCACAGCACAGGGTACGCTGGGACATAGATATGTGCGCAGCGCAGGGCACGCCAGGAGACGGGTTTGTGAGTGCCAGCGGGGCATGTTGGGACACGGGCGTGTGCACAGCGCAAGGCACGCTGGGACATGGATGTGTGCACAGTGCAGGGAATGCTGGGACATGGGAAGGTGAGCAGTCACAGGGTATGCTGGGACAGAGGTGTGTGAGCGGCCACAGGGCACACTGGAATGTGTCACATATGTGAACACGCAGGGCCTGCTGGGGCGCGTTTTGTGTGTGTGTGTGTGTGTGTGTGTGTGTATGAGCTCACAGGGCATGCTGGGACACATCGTGTGTGTAATGTGTGAGTATGAGCCTGCAGGGCACGCTGGGATAC